ACATTGGTTACAGTCCCCGCAATGTGTAACCACTCACCATTTCCACCCCGCCTACCCCATTTCATCCATCCAGTTTCCCTGCCCCTCCTTGCCGCCTTTGCTTTTAGGTAAATGTCAACTGTTTGGTCTCACATAGCTGATGGTATAAAGGAGCATACTCCTCGTGGGTGTTACTGTTTATTTTCTAGGCCAATATATTTGGCTGAAGGGTAGCCTCTGGGACATGGAATGAGGGAGGTCACTGCTGATGTCAGATGGATCTTGGCTGAAAGCAGAGAACACCAGAAAGGTGTTTACCTGTGTTTTATTGACTATGAAAACGCACTTAACTGTATGGATCATAACAAATTATGGGTAACATTGCAAAGAATGAGAATTCTAGACAACTTAATTGTATTCATGAGAACCCTGTGCATAGACCAAGAGGCAATCATTCGAACAGAACAGAAGGGTACTGTGTGGTTTAAAATCAGGAAAGGTGTGTGTCAGAGTTGTATACTTTCACCATATTTATTCAATCTGTAGGCTGAGCAAATAATCCAAGAAGCTGGACCATATGGAGAAGAGCTAGGCATCAGGACTGAAGAAGATTTAACAACCTGTGATATGTATACGACACAACTTTGCTTGCTGAAAGCGAAGAGGACTTACTGATGAAGATCAAAGACTACAGCCTTCAGTATAGATTAGACCTCAACATAAAAAAACAAAAATCCTCGCAAGTGGACCAATAGCAACATCATGATAAATGGAGCATGGAAGCAGCAGTCAAGAAATCAAACGATTTATTGCAACGGGCAAATCTGCTGCAAAAGACCTCTCTAAAGGGCTGTTTATGCAAAAGGAGACAGCTCAGGGCAGGAGTGCATGGAGCGGACACCGGCAAGAGGTAACTATTGGCAGGAAGTGGGAGGGGAGCTGCTACCTTAGGGTAAATTGTAGTCATTGTCAGGAGACAAAGTGTGTGTGAACTGCTGTATGGTAAGTGAATTTGCTCTGTAAACTTTCACCTAAATCACAATAATAATAATAATAA